AAAAATATCAACCTAAAGTATCATGTTTTAATCCAATCAACTGCTGCTCTACGAGAATTTATTGCTGAATGTTTCGATTCATGAGAAAAAGGCTGAAAAAAAAGGGTGACATTATGGAAGTTGGCACTTTCCACAAACAAATCACAAACCTGCGACTGAATGTCTGCTTTGTTTTCCTCAACAAATGTCTGTGAAAGACGATTTATACCCTTCAGAAAATGTTGAATAAGCAGCTAAATAAATATTAAATAACACTTTGAATCAAATATAATAAATGATTTAAAAGTTTTTTTTATATATTGGAACTCAATTTTCCCACCCGTCTTAAAAGTGTAAAATTTACAGCAATATTTATGACGTATCTGCCTCTAAAGAGAGTTTATTAGGACATTAAAGTAACCCATTATTTTTATTTGCAATCTAGTCTGTACTAGTCCTATATAAGGTTATGAAACCGAATTCATTTGCATTTCTTAACCAAATTTACATACAAGTAAATTTATTCATTTATTCAATTTCCTTCGGCTCAGTCCCTTTATTAATCAGGGTTCACCACAGCGGCATGAACCGCCAACTTATCCAGCATTTGTTTTCCACAGCTAACCCAACCCAGTACCGGGATTCAATCATACACTCTCACATTCACACTCGTACACTACAGCAAATTTAGTTTATTCAGTTCACCTGTACCGCATGTCTCTGGACTGTGGGGAAAACCGGAGCACTTGAAGGAATCCCATAGGAACACAGGGAGGACATGCAAACTCCACACAGAAATGCCAACTGGTTCAGCCGGGACTCAAACCAGGTGAAGCGACTGTGCTGCCTATATGAGTAAATGAATATAGGTAAAGTAATTTAAAGGCTTAATGAGGTTAACTAAGCAAGTTAGGTTAATTAGGCCATTGGACAACAGTAGTTTGATCGGTTGCCAATTGGATAAAAGGGGGCCTAATAGCATTGTAATAAAATTGTTTAAAAACTAAATTTTTATTCCTGCCAAACTAAAATAAATAGTTTAATATTTAGTAATACAAGAAGATAAAATATAATAGGAAATACTGTGATAAATGTCCTTGCTTTTAAACATATGATAAATATTTGAAAATAGTTTTTACATTTACTTTAATACAAATTTCACAGAAGAAGGTTAATTAAATGCCTTATATCCAAAGATAAATTACAAAAGTCAACTAAGACCAAGAACTGTTTTTCATTCCTTGTACCTACAACGAATGCCAATGGGACCATCATCTTATTAGCCCTCCTGTGAAATCAATTGAACATTTTGGATTTCACAAGTAATGTTTAAAGGTGCTAAATGTAAGCTTTTGACTCTTCTAAAGCATACAAATACCATAAGATGTTTGCAGATATTTAAGAAACCTGCTATGTGAGCATACTTGCTTATCTGGAAAACAATGCAAGATATTCTGTCAAAAATAAAGTCAGATATTCTGCTTTGAAATGGTTGTTGCTACATTGGATATGGTTGCGGACGAAAGTTAACGAAAATTATTTCTATTATTTATTAAATTTCCCATTTATTGTATTTTATTAACGTCTACCCCCACCCCAACCCTAAACCCAACCGTAACAAAGTAAAAACAGTAGTTATACCAAGTATTATTTATGCTCTCTGTTAAATTAACCAATATAAATTGTATTTTTAACACCTACCCCAACTCCAAACCTAAACAAAACTGTTACAATACGGTAAAAATTTTAATTATTGTTATACAGTGTACTATATTAATGTGCATATCGCACTTCCGGCCGGCCGGGTATCCAATCTAGACTTTACCCTTTAAAATTGGTCATTACGTGCTGGAACAGCCATCTTTGTTTTGGTTCTTTTAACCTGCCCACTACCAGTTTAGCCAATTGTATTTCAGTACCCTGTGTGCCCTGGTGGAAAACAGCGCATTTGATTCATTCAGTCAGAAAGGCTCTCAAAGCATGTGCCCGTGAACAAAATGTGCTCTGAGATGCGCTAATTTTCTGCTTTTTACTGAAAAAAATAAAAACAGGAGGGCTAAAACATTATGATTAACCACAAAAGACATGCTCAATCGACCCAAAGCAGCACAACTCCAGTTATTTCACTGGTTGAAATCATGCGGGACTTGTTGAGGGTGAAAAGTAATGCAAACGCTCGGCTTGAGCTTGACAAGCTTGTCAAAACATTGCGAGGATTGTCTTTGTGGCCGATGCTTTGAGCTGAACCTGGACCCGTGTGGCCGACGGCTCCACTAATGGCTCTGGTAAATCATTCAGAAGCCTGAATGTGCCATTAACTGCATCACAACGCCTCAAAGCTGGGCTAATGTGTGGATAATGACAGCGGCGAGACCTCACTGCACCAGGATAATGGAAAATTAACCTTTTTAAAGGGCATCACAGATCCATCTCTCTGGAGTCAAACAGAAACAACGATTAGATGCTGTTGCATTCAAAGTCAAGATGCTTTAGCAAATGCATCGAAAACATCCGTGGGGTTTTCAACTAGTAGAGGAGCAACTGTACATATGTTTGTACTGTACATTTTCAATAGGGTTGGGTGTGAATCTGCTCAAATCGAAAGCATTTATGCGAGGAGGTTGTTCAAATGCCTTCTTTCCAAAGATAAACAAATGGGTCCTAACAGACTTCCATTGTAAGTAAATATAAAATTAAAGTCATTGGGACCATCATCAGCCACTGTTCGACTATCAAGATGAATCATTCAAAAGGCTAATATATACTCCTGCGACAAGCGAACAAGAATGGTCTGGTGCAGTCTTTGCATAGAACTCGCCAACGCTGACGCACACCTCTCAAAAAAATTTAACTACACATCACATCAAAGTGTAGCGCAAGCTCTGTGATTGGTCTGACAAGCGTGGGCGGGGCTGAGAGCCGCAAGCCCAATGCAGTAAGTGTTTATAAGTGTCAAATCCTGTGAAGGAGCTCCAGATAAAAACTTTTGTTTTTACCTTGTGATTAAAGTTGTTGCACGTACGCCGGTTCCCCCCACTGAATGAGCGAGTTTGAGCTACTTGTAGCGTTCAGAAAAAGCAAAACACCAACACAAAGGAACATAAAAACCTACTGCCAGCTAGCATTTCGGAAGTGTTATTGCAGGGCAACACAAACAGGATGCAGAAGTATAAATGCACGACTATGCGCAAGGTAGGCGCCATGGGTCACTCCGATCACTCGATGCAGAGGTATAAATCAGCCTTAAAGCTGCCTTTTCACTGCACACGACAAGCAACAGACCAGAAGTCATCAATTTTCAAAAGAGAGTAGTCAAAAGTGTGTGTGTTTATCTGTATTTTGCTGCTCTTTGGTGCTTTTTTTATCCTTATTGTAAATGACTTTAAATAAATGTACCATATGCACTTTATTCTCCGCGTACCAGCGGGCGCAACCATTTGAATCTTTTTGGCTTAAGACTTCCAGTCTCATTACCTTCCATTCATTTTTGGACGTTAAAAACAACTCGTTACGCTGCTTGATGTTGCAAACTGCTATTTTCTAATTATATTATTCTACTTTGACTGTATAGTCATGGACATGCTTGTTTGTAGAGCGAGTAGTTTGACCGTTTTCTGCCGTTTATTATTCCTAGTCATTTCAAGGTCAGGAGAAAAGCGTAAAGGCGGACGGACAAGTCTTCACAGCAACATGGACACCTCCAAATGGCGTTAAAAGTGTCACATACTGTATTTATAAGGTGTAATTCACCCAAAAATGTCATTTCTGTCTTAATGTAATGATGTATTCGTGGCAGCGAAATCACAAGTTTGTTTACTACGAAGAGGACGTGTGCGTGCCCGCCAATGAAATCTACTTTAGTAAACAGAACCTGAATAGGCTGTGAATAACATCTAATAAAGCTGTAAATAACGTTCAGTTTGTTGCACAGAGCGATCGTTTGAGAGCCACATGGTAAGTACGGTTTGCATGTGTGTATTTTTTTTCTTAAAGTGACGGCAGCCATGAGCCGCACTCAGGTGTGAAAGTGAACCCAAAAGCGTGCACATCATTTAAATAATCATACCGCATTTTAGAGTTACGATTAGCATTTGATACGTTTTTTCTTTCATAGCGAACACAGTGTTGTGCGCGACAATAAATGTTTAGGAGTGTCAGTATAACTACTCCAGCTCTAAACATAATAATTCAACATCAGATTTATGAGTAGTTATAACCTGATGGGGCGAGGCAGTGGCGCAGTAGGTAGTGCTGTTGCCTCACAGCAAGTAGGTCGCTGGTTCGAACCTCGGCTCATTTGGCATTTCTGTGTGGAGTTTGCATGTTCTCCCTGCTTTTGCGTGGGTTTCCTCCGGGTGCTCCTGTTTAACCCAGTCCAAAGACATGCGGTACAGTTGAATTGGGTAGGCTAAATTGTCCGTAGTGTATGAGTGTGTGTGTGTGAATGTGTGTGTGGATGTTTCCCAGAGACGGGTTGCGGCTGGAAGGGCATCCGCTGCGTAAAAACTTGCTGGATAAGTTGCCAATTCATTCCGCTGTGGCGACCCCGGATTAATAAAGGGACTAAGCCGACAAGAAAATGAATGAATGAATGAATGTATTCTGATGCATCGCTTTACTGTGCATTAATGACCAGGACAAATTGAAAGTCTGTTCAAGTCCACCTTTCCAAGTCCATACAAAATGTACCATTGCAACCAACAGTTGACCTACACATAGGCGTAATATTATTATTGTGGTTTTACCATATGTTTAAGAATTAAAAATAATAATAGCCTACTAATATTATCCTTTATTTTACATTACAGAATCATCAGAAAATCTTGATTTTAACCAAATAAAATCCTGATTCTCATTTTAGCCGGAATCGTGCATCCCTATTACCATAATAGTAATACCATTTTAATTGTTTTATATAATGTTGTAGTATTTATGTAGTGTTGAATTGAGAGATTTCAAGTTCTGTCATCGACACACTGTAGCATAAAATAAGCAATAGACAATCTTAAGGTGTTACTTACAGGAGCCACAATCTTTCCAGTCTGTCCGACCTGCATGTCGTTGGGCACATACCCAGCGTCAACCGCAGCTCTTGAGGCGCCGACTACAAGAACACACAGCAGGTGTCATGTTTACATTCACATTTATTTAAACAACCTGATCATAAACTAACACCAAAAACAGAATCAAAGTTAAAATGAATAAATCAAGCAGTTTACCGGCTGCGTTCAGCTTATCTGCGAGGTCGTACAGAAGTTTGAAGTTGTCGCCGCTCTTCAAGCCTCTGCCTGTTATGACAGAAAGACGGCAGATGGGCATAAAATATGAAATTACTGTTAAGGTTATGACTCCAGCAAGATCAATAACGTCTCAGTTTCCTATTGATTTTCCTGAGGACGAAAAAACATCAACAACAACCTGGAAATTTCAAGGGAATACCCAACATCGTGAGCTAGTGTTCAAACAATGAAGGTAAACACAAAGATGATGCAGTCCCTGAGGAAAGCAGATTTACTTTACAGCTTAATAATAAAATATATATAAGAAAAACATCATCAATAAACAATGTATGAGAGTTAGACCTTACTGGGTTTGTAAGAGATTTACAAAGGAATATTAGATGATTGTAATATATATATATATATATATATATATATATATATATATATATATATATATATATATATATATAATTTTTTTTTACATGTTTTATGTTGAAATGTGCAAATGATGCATTAGCTAATAAAATATGCACTACTTTGCATTTATTTCTACAAAAAAAAAATCTTCATACTGGATGAATTGTTTCTTTTTTTTGAAAAATTAGGGGGAAAAAAAGTTTAGAGAGGTGATTTAAATGGGTTTTAAACAGTTTTCAGATCATTATATCATGTTTTGAAACATGAATTTGATTCATTCAATCAGAAAGGCTCTCAAAGCATGTGCCCAGGAGCATCATGGCTGAAATGCAGCTCTGCATATTCAAGGCTGAACTACATGTTTTTATTAAAGGTGCTGCATGTAAGTTTTTGACTCTAAAGCATAAAAATACCTCAATATATCTGCAGATAGTTCAGAAACATGCTAAGTGAACATTCTTGTTTATCTGAAAAACAATGCTGAAGTCAGATTTTCTGCTTTGAAAATGTGCTTTACATGTCGGAATGTCTGTCTTAGTTTTGGTCCTTTATCATCTCACCCAATGCCAGTTTAGCCAATTATATTTCAGCACTCCAGGTCACCTTGGTGGAAAACAGCGTATTTCATTTCATTCAGTCAGAAAGGCTCACAAAGCATGCGCCTGTGACCAAAATGCAACCTCCAGTGGACAGTAGCAAACTCCGAAATGAGACGCAGATTCAGAGTTCCACATGAGGTTATTAATTAGCAAACAATGTAAATATAACGTTTGTAAACAATAGTCGAGAAGGTTACATGATGCGATTTGCAGTGATAAGCAATTTGGCTGTTTGCACCAGATGAAACACAACAGAAATTTAAATACAGCCATTCAGAAGCACAGAATAGTGCACTCAATCATGAAATAGTAACGTTTATAATGTAATTAATACATATTAAAAACCTCTAACACTATTAAATGTACATACTGAACACTATTAAATGTACATGCTGAATCACTGATATGTGTTGACTTTCACTGAGTCACAGTTCTAAAGTTTCAGTAGTATGGCAATAAAATGTAAAATGGCATTCAAACTCACATCGTTAGCATTTAACAGAAAAAAGCACACGAGGTGTACCTGAGGTGAGCATTGGCTAAGTTTTCTGTTGCTCATCTGCAAGAAATAGAAGCCATTTCTAACATATCAATTCAAGGTGTTGGCTGGGACAAACTCCTTTTAATGTGGAAAATATTGCTTCTATCACATGCCATTGCTTTTATTTAGAACACGACTTAAATCAGCCTTTAGGCTTGATAGTCAGGCTGCCTCCTGTTGGTCCTAAATCTGGAAACCTGCGACTGCATTTGTTTTGATCCAGGAATGCAATACTGAGTGTCAAACTTGCATACTGCACCTTTAATGCATTAGTGTATCTGAATAAATGCATTAATAACGGCAAACATTTTTGGCATTACGGTTTATCTAATATGGTCAAAAATGTTCAACATTTCTAATCATAATAGTTTTAATATCTCATTTCTAATAACTGATTTCTTTTTTCTTTACCATGATGACAGTAAATAATATTTGACTAGATATTTTTTAAGATACTGGTATTCAGATTAAAGTGACATTTAAAGGCTTAACTAGGTTAACTAGGCAAGTCATTGTATAATGATGGTTTGTTCTGTAGACCAACGAAAAAAATATTGCTTAAACATTAACCATAAACTGGTTTAAAGAAATTAAAAACTGCTTTTATTCTAGCTGAAATAAAACAAACAAGACTTTCTCCAGAAGAAAAATATATTATTGGAATTACTGTGAAAATTTCTTTGCTCCATTAAGACTTCACAGGAGGGCGAAAAATGTTGACTTCAACTGTATGTTTTGTTATATCTCTGTGAAGATAAGCAACATATTTAGTGTATTTAAACTATTATGAGTCACACTTCTGTGTATAATTTTTGTTTTGTTGTAAGTAGCATTTTTATAAACAAGTACATCCAGGATGGTTGTTTTTGCAGAATAAACCCTTCAGTTTTAAACAACAGTGCTCCGCTACATGTCGAGCTGCCTGTTGATAGCCCTGTTGGGATTTATTCTGCAAAAACAATTGCCTTTGTACTCAATTGCCGATGTACTTCATTCCTAATATAACATTTATACAGTCCTACATTTATAACTGGCCCTTTGAAGGTAGCAATAATGCTGAAGATATAAAAAATATGTTGTTTATGGGGGCTAATAATATTGACCTTAATATGGCGTTTAAAAAAATTTAAAAGGCTTTCATTCTAGCCAAAATAAAACAAATAAGACTTTCTACAGAAGAACAAATATTATCAGACATACTGTAAAAAATTCCTTGCTCCGTTAAATATCATTTGGGAAATATTAAAAAACAAAAAAAACACAAGAGAGTGCATAATCGTCTTCAACTGTATGTGTATCAGCACAAGTGTGATTCTCACCTCCAGACACTACGACTTTAGCACTGGTAAGCTCTGGCCGGTCACTCTTGCTCAGTGTTTGCTCTAGCCACTCCGAGACTCCGACAGGCGCAGACGGAGAGACTGCAAAAAACAGCAACATCTCGTGAGGAGACGCCAAATAAACAGGCAGAGCTCCTCCAAAATACCCCTTTATGATGCCTTTAAAGTCAACCTTTAAACAAACGGGTCCATCTAAAGTTTACAGCGGAGGGGAGGATTATATACAGTGCTAAATACTGTAAACCTTTGTGTGTGGTTCAGCTGGGCCTTAAAGGGAGACATGAGTGTGTTTAACTTCATCAAACAGCGGGTACCTTCCTCTGAAGTGCTGCTGCCTCCGTCTGCAGCCGCCGGCTCGAATGAAGTTCCTCTGACAGTGAACACCTTCACGCTTTCATTGCACTTCACTGTGCTCAGAGCATTTCCTGTGGAGAAGACAGAGGGGATGCTTTTTTGTTGTTGTTGTTTCTTTGTGCTACCGCTTGTGATATCTTATCGTACTTATTTTTATCATTTTAATTTTAAAAAGTCTAAACTTTCCGTTATAGACAGAACCTTGTTTATTAAAATAAAAGGCAAACTGGGACAACAACAATGAAAATCAATACACAATCTACAACACAAAACTAATGATTTTTTGTACTTTTGTATCACTTTAACAAAGTTCAGCCTTTTTACAATTAAAGTGATACAAAAGTACAAAAAAAAACAAAAAATCATAGGTTTTGTAGGTTGTTTATTGTTTTAGTTGTTGAGCCAGTTTGCCCTAATGCTTTTAATGAAAGTTTTATCATATGAGACATGGCAACCTACGATCACATACTTTAAAAGGAAGACCCTCTCCTTTATCTGATTTATATAAAGAAATCTGTGCAAACAGGTTTAACTGTGATCACCAATATAATTGTAATGTAATAATACAATAAAAGACCACTATAAATGTATCAGAAAATTAGTTTGTATTATCAAGTACTGTAGGTATTTATTTATTTGAACTGGTTTTAAAGTTTATTTTTTATTGCATTAATTTTCATTTCATTTTTTAAATTCTTTTTATTTATTTATTACTATTATTTTTATAAATATTTTCCATTTTGCTATATTTTTATCTATTCCTGTTGTAATTTTATTTGTTTACCAATTCATTTCGGCGACTGTTCAAAAATGGGGGGGGGAAATTACAACCTTGATTATACAAAATGTTTTGTTAAAGCTTGAGAAAATAATCACAAATAAATGTTTAAAAATAAATCAATTATAATGAAAAGTTCTATGACTTATCGAAAGTTCAGACTTTTTAAAATTACAGACAGAACCTTGTTTATTAGAAATATTACAGCAAACTGGGTCAACAATGAAAACAATATACGAACTACAACACAAAACATTACAGAGTTATGTTAGGTGCTATTAATTATAGAAAATTGTACAATTATGCAGTTTTTAAATGACTGTCAGCACAAAATACAACAAATAAAATGCACGCAAATAAAACATTTACACACGCTTATTATGTCCCTTATTAATAAAGGGACATAACAATGAAATTAAAATCATTGATCAAAGACCTTTAATAGACAAACAGATGAGTTCATAGACAGAATTTTAAATTATAATATTTAAAAAAAAAAAACTAACATTTAAGACCAATTTCTATTTTAAATGTTGAAATTTTTATTATTCATTTTTGATTTAATTATTTCTTAATATAATTTGCATTTTTTTTAAATAACAATATTGCAACAAACCAACATTTATATACATAAAAAAATAATAATAAAATAAAATATCATATAAACAACATATATATATATATATATATATATATATAAACAAACAATTTCCGCCACAGTCCAAACACACGAGCTATAGATGAATTAAACTAAATTGGCCATAGTGTATGTGTGTGAATGTGAGTGTATGGATGTTTCCCAGTACTGGGTTGCGGCTGGAAGGGCATCCGCTGTGTAAAACATATGCTGGATAAGTTAGCGAGACATTCCGCTGTGTCAACCCCTGATGAATAATGGGAATAAGCCAAAGGAAAATTAAATAATATAATATAATATAATATAATATAATATAATATAATATAATATAATATAATATAATATAATATAATATAATATAAATTTGAGATTAACTGGCAGACTTAAGCTAGATATTCTTCATCTGATAAATTGTATTAAAGACATCAACACACATTTTTACATTACATAATGAATAAAATATCATCAATAATTGTTCCTTCAAATCCCTCTGGAATAATTGATGAAAAACATGCATCATAATCATTTGCACAGCTCCGGGAGAACATTCAGGATCTCCAATTGAAAATCTGCAACAAAAATTATTACCTAAATTGGTAAAACACCACTTTTAAAGTGGTATTTTACATGAAAAACGTTTTTATCCGATTTAATATTTAATTAAAGTCTTGCAACAACAATTTTTAAAATCATTTTCTGTGCTTGCCAAACACAAAGTGGCCAGAGTAATTAGGAAGTATTTATGACAGTGTATTTTATGGATGAGAAATGGTAAACAAGAAAAATAATACATGCAAAGTGGAACAAAAAGTCTCCGGTGTCCCCGTTAAAACA